ACAAAATCCACAGGTATTTGGAGTGAGCACAAATGCACAAGAAACGCGCAGCCTCCTCCTGTGCTCTCTGCCCATGCGTGCGTGTGACCCCGGGACTTGCCGAGTTTGGGCTCATTCTCCACTTAGGATGAGTTCTGCACATGTGTCACTAGGGTCCCCGCTTGAGTTGGAGCGCAGCAGGAGCCTTCCCCAGATGCAGCGGGCGTGCAGCGAGAGCTGTGCCACGTTTTGTTCTTTCCAGGCCGCGTCGTTGTCTTGTTTTCCGTGCTTTACTCCTGTTCTCTCTCTGTGACATGTGGCACCTCTTGCGGCACATCTTGGGCTCGTGTCTGGTGTGCCTTTATTGCTGTCTGCCCCAGAGTGTGGAGTGTTGCGGTCACGGGCATGGGTTCAGAACCAGCCTGCAGACCTCGGCAAGATTTTAATCTTTCTAAACCTCAGCTTTCTCAGCTGTAAAACAGAGCTAGAATGAACACCTACCTTTGAACTATATTATAAAGATTAAGTTAATGCTAAACATTGCTATTATTAGGCAAATTGCGAATTTTTAAAATCAGTCATTGAAATATGCGAAGAACAGCGAACTCCCTCTGTTTCAGGACAGCCTAGATTTGAATGAAGGAAATGCTAAAGAGAAATCCACTTTGGGCCCAGCAGCCAAACACCAGTGAGCCAGTTTGCAGATGCCAGGCTGGCAGCCATGAGCAGTTGTCTACAGATAGGCTGGAGTGTCCTGAAACCTGCCGAGGACACTGCCTGTCACCCGCTGACAGCCTGCAGAACAGCGCTGCCTTAACTGGGCTCCACTGCAGGGCACTTGTGATAGAATCATTCCCGGCACATGACGTCTGCAGGTAGAGGGTGCCTGTGTCCCTCTGTTCATGCAGTCCTCAGCCCCTCTTCCTCTCCAGCCCTCCCTGGCCATGCCGCTCGGGCACGAACACAAAGGCAGAGGTCCTGGGTACTTGTGAGGGCAGCAAACAGAGAGGAGCTGTCCCGCCAGGGCACGGCTGCTGTGGGGACGTCACCAGCGTGCTTTCTTGCCCTCACGCAGAATCTCCTCCTGTCCAGGCTGCCGACCATCCACTCACAGATGACATTTCCCTTTGTAAAGGAAGTATGGCCCATTGGCGCCACAACAGGCCCCGAGTCACACTTCTCCGTGTCCTTTCTGCTTGCCTGCACTGCCGACCCATGGTTGAGACAACCCAGGAGGGGCCTGGGCTGCGGGAGCCATGTGCATGCATTCCCGTGTCCTTGCGCCATCTGCGGGTGCTCCTGACTAGCCGGGCCTAGATACCTGATCTAGCATAGGTAGCAGCCCTGGTTCTCCTGTACAGAATAGTGTCAGAGTCGCACCATAGATGAGGCATGAGTGCGTGCAGGAGCTGACTGTCCTGACAGGGGTCTGTCACTCTCAACAGATGCGTCGTGGTTTCCAGCAACACAACCCGTAGGTTATTTGGGGAGGCAATCATGGATAAAGAAGCCTTCAACCATGGATGTAAATGAAAAGATGGTTTTGAAGAGTTTCTTTTTCAAAAAATTCAGAAATGTCTCGCAGTGGACTTGAAGCTCCCTGTCCCTCCCTTGTCTGTGGGTTTCCCTGCGTGTCCGCCTCTGTTCAAAACAGTGATTGTAAGAGGAGCCAGCGCTGAGCGAGTGTTTTGACATGGCCTGCATATTCCTGAGCCCCTCATATGCAGGAGCTCCCTGACTTCACAGCAGCCTGGGGGGTAGGGGCTGGGTGCCCCCATTTTACAGGGAGGGCAGCACAGCTTGTGGGGACAGGCCCGACTCTTGTGATGACGCCAGGTGAACCACCCTGAGATCTTTAAGTCAGTAGGTGGAATCTCTGTCAGTAGCCCTTGAACTAATGACAGGAAAGTACTATAAAGCTTCCCCATCAAAAAGACACCTGCACTCCATGGTGTCAGCAGCCAACATGTGGAAACACCCTCATGCCCGTCGATGGGTGAGTGGATAAAGAAAGCGTGGTGTGTGTACACGTGGCGGGATATGGTTCAGCCTAAAAAGGAAATTCTGACACATGGGACAACATGAATGAACCCGAGGACATTCTGCTGAGTGAAACAAGCCAGTCATAACAGGACACACGCTGTGTGACTCCACTCACAGGAGGGACCTGAGACAGCCGAGCTCATGGAAGCAGAGGGTAGAATGATGGTTGCCAGGAGCCAGGGGCAGGCAGATGGGAGTTCTTGTCCAGAGGGTCAAATTTCAGTTTTGCAAGATGCATGAGTTGTAGAGGCCTGCTGTACAGCGTGGTGCCTGTAGTTAACAACACCACATCGTTCACTGACAATTTGTTGAGAGGGCAAACCTCATGTTAAGTGTTCTTACCACAATTTGAGAAGTCTCCACTCTAGCTCTCTCACAAATTGCTCTAGAGCCTGTGGTCTCGGCCACAGGTTCTTGCTGACCAGCTCACCACACGAGTCTGAACCCGGCCTGCTGCACAGAGGCGGCTGGAGGGTGGAAGCAGAGGCAGAGCCTCGTCGCCAGGCGCCACGGGCCAGGGGCACCCTCTGTCCTGCCTGACCTTGCTTGCTTTTTTCTCTCTTTTAAACAGTTTTACTGAGTTAAATATTCACCCACTTAAAGTACATGGTTCAGGGATTCTAGTTCTGTTGTGCAGCCATCACCACAGTCTAATTTTAGAACATTTTCACCCCAAAAAGCACCCATGTCCATGCAACAGTCACCCCCTGCTCCACCCTCTCCCCAGCCCCTGGCAACCACTAATCTACTGTCTGTCTCTGTGGCTTTTCCTGTTCTGGACATCTTATGTGGATGGAATCACTCACTATGCGGCCCTCTGTGTCTGGCTGCTGTCACCGAGCATCATGATTGTGAAGGTCATCCACACTGTCACGTGTGTCAGTCAGTGCTTCACTCCTTGTTATGGCTGAATGATGTTTCGCTGTGTGGACATGTGCTATATGTCTATTCATCAGCTGGTGGACACGGGCTTTTCCCAGTTTTTGGCTGTTATGAGTAATGCCGCTGTGAGCCCTCATGTACAAGTTTCTGTGCTGACATCTTTCAAGTTCTCTTGGGCATACACATAGGAATCGGATTGCGGGGTCATGTGGTAACTCCATGTTTGAAAAGCAGTTATTGAGGAACCACCCGACTGTTTTCCAAAGCAGCTACAGTGTTTCGCACCCCAGCAGGGGTTTGTGAGGTTCCAGTTTCCCCACGTCCTCGCCAGTGCTTGTGACCGTCTGTCATGCTGATGAGCCGTCCCGGTGCAAGTGAGGCACTGCCCCACTGTGGCTTCGATTTGTGTTTCCCTGAGAGCTGGTTATGCTGAGCATCTGTCATGTGCTTATTGGCATTTACAAATAATTTTTGGAGAAATGTCTGCTCAGATCCTTTGCCGGTTATTTCATTGGGTTATTCGTCTTTCTATTCCTTGTGCCTTCTTGAAGTCAGTGTATTTGGACGTTGGATTAAGGCAGCCAGGGCTAACAGAGGTTCACTGTGGGTACTGAGTTTGCCCCCAACAACTGGCCTTTCCTGATGACCCCTCTGGTCCCTCGATGGTACTATCAGCACCCTATCCTTGGGGCTGATGCCTTTTTACGGCCTCCTCCCCTTTTTGACGCTTGGGTAGAAAGGACTGTGGCTGGTGAGTGTTCCAGTGTCACCTGTGACATGAGATGTCTGTCCAGGTCTGGCCTAGAGTGCATGAGGAGGTTGAGACCCCGGAGGATGTTAACGCCACATGCTATATTCCATTTAGTCCTCCCAGTGGCCCTGAATACCCCTTTCTATAAGTGGAAACTGAGGCCCGGGATCAGTGGTTTGCCTAAAGTCATGGCTGTGTGAGCCCAGGCAGACTCGGAACTGGCAGTGTGCCCTGGCCTCCGTCCCCATGGGCCAATTCTGAGCACAATTCTGGAGTGGTCCCCTGGGAAAACAAATGGGCCGGTGCCCAGTGTAGGAAGCATGGGTCGTCTCCAACAGTTCTGGGTCTGAAAACTGTCTGCTGACCACAGGGTCCCAGGGTGGCTGGGTGTGCAGGACCCTGCCCAACTGCCCTCCCATCCCATCCCATGTGGCCTTCTGAAAGTGACCCATTCACCTCGGGTCCTATGCTGGACAAAGACACATAGAGTTCTTAGCATGGAACTTTCCAGACCTGAAGTTCTCATGAAATTACATGCATCTCTCAAACCCCCCATAAGGAGACAGACGATGCCTCATCCCAGTGTCCTGAAGGCACTTACAGGTGGGGGGCTTCGGGAAGGACTGGAAACAGGGCTCAGGTGCAGGTGACCACCCACATGCCTGCCAAGTGCTCCTGCAGCCCCCAGAGAAACTCTGAAGCCTGCTGAGTCGGACGGGAACATGATGCTCTAGCTGGGGACTGACGTCCCTGAAATGCTAACATCATGCATGGTCACTGTGAGCCCTCATGTTCTGGGGGGCTGCTCAGGCCTCCTAGCCAGCACTGGGCAGCATGGGAGCCCCCTCCTGCAGGCCTTCTTGGTGTGTGCAAGGGTTCACATTGCTTTTTTGTTTTTAAATATGGAAAAACAATGTAGCACCAAAGAAAGTTTTAGGAGAAAATGTCACCCTTAATTCCATTCTCCATCTGTCCACACGATCTTATCATTGCTCATGGCTGCAGAATATTCTGTCACACCACAGTGCATACGAGCATTGTAAGTGGACGTAAAGATGGAGATGTCATATAAAATGATAGATGTCCTCCCCACTCCTTCTGCTACTTTCCGTTTGTCTCTTCCCCTGTCTTTTGCTTAGTGAGTGCAATTATAACTTTGGGAAACTTATTAAATATAAGCCACCAAAATATTTCCAGCAGACAATTCTACTCGAGATGAAAATACTGTAATTACCCCAACTGTGTGGTAGGACCCATGGGGACGCTGGCCTGTCTGTCCCATGAGGAGGGAGGCTGTGCTTGGGGCCAGGTCCTGCGTGTGCCAACGTCCCCCCTCTGTCCGCAGAGCTGGTCATGCTGCTGGAGTGGTGGTCGTGCACCGAGTGCACGCTGTTCACAGACCAGGCTGCGGTGGACCACTTCGGGAAGGAGCATGTGGTCATCATCCTCAATCACAACTTCGAGATCGACTTCCTCTGTGGATGGACCATGTGTGAGCGGTTTGGCGTGCTGGGGGTGAGCAATGGGGGGTACAGGGGAGGTGCCAGGGGTGAGTGACGGGGGGCCCAAAGGGGGTGCTGGGGTGAGTGATGGGGGTCCAGGGGAGGTGCCGGGGGTGAGCAATGGGGGGTCCAGGGGAGGTGTTGGGGGGTGAATTGGAGGGGTCCTGGGGGAGGCTCCAGGAGGTCTGGAGTCTCCAAGGCCCTGGGTTTTCCTTCTTTGGAGGTTTTTAAGCCAGGTACCTTTGAGCCAGGCCGTGAGAATATGGCTAATCGGAGGGGCCCTCACCGGCAGGGTGCTCTCAGCTGTCCCTGAGCTTATTCCTGGAATTAGCTATTTTTCATCATAAACCCATACCTTTTAGATGATACCACCTGAGTCCCCGCAGAACTAGTTGGATTCACTAAGCTGCCTCGGACGAAATTTAAACTGTGCCCGAGACAGGCCAAGGAATTTCACTGCAGTAAAAGCCCTTATAGGTGGTGGCCCCTAAGTCAGTGCTGGGAGGTCCACGGTGCGAGCAGGGGCCTGGGAGCCCAGCACAGGTCGCATCCTGGCGCCCTGTCCACCTGGGTTTCCTCATTTCCAGGAGGGCACACCTTCACTCGGGGGAGCGCAGATCCCTGTAATGCCACACTCAGAAGTCAGGGTCTCCACATATAGCAAACTCACTGACCCCAGAAGCCACGACTTGCAGAGCAACTCCACGCAGTCCTGGGGGTGGCGGGGGGCCCCTCGCGCTGTCCTCCCTCCGACCCCACGGTGCACTGACCGTCCCCCGCCTCCACCCTCAGAGCTCCAAAGTCCTCGCTAAGAAGGAGCTACTGTACGTGCCCCTCATCGGCTGGACATGGTACTTCCTAGAGATCGTATTCTGCAAACGGAAGTGGGAAGAAGACAGAGACACCGTGGTGCAAGGGCTGAGGCGCCTGTCCGACTACCCCGAGTACATGTGGGTGAGTGCCCCACTGTGCACACCTGCCAGGCTCGGAGCCCGCATGTCAGCTGCTCAGGTGTCACTCATGGTCTGCTACCTGCAAAGCCCCACAGGGCCTCCCAAGCTCCGGACGCTGTTCCCAACAGGGCAGGGCTCCCCAGCTTCCCAGCCCACAGACTTGGAAGCTCCTCTTGGTCTCCTAGACCCCCTGCTGCCACCTGAACCCACCTCCACCCTGCAAGCCCAGCCCTGACCCAAGGCCATCCTAAGGGTCCCTGCTCAGCCGTGCATTCTTGTGTCTTTTCCTAATCCTTTTTTCTGGGCTATGACGCTATTCTTGCAAAATTGGCTTCTTATTTAGCATTTCTAATTCTCATGGTGGGTGGATCACAGGCCTTCAGGGTTCACTTCTTTCTGGAAAGTTCTTTGGAAAGCTGTCCTGCATGAGCGAACTTGTATGGTTGGAGTGCAGACTACAGCCCTAAAATGAAACAGCCTTTCAGATTGTGCCATGTGCTTGTCACTAGAGTGGTGAGGCGGCATGTGAGACCGAAGCGTTCTGGGCCACAGATGTCAGGTATTGGTTCCAGCTCCACTGGTGCCTGGAATAACCTCTTGTCCCCGTGTCCATGTCCTAGTTTCTCCTGTACTGCGAGGGGACGCGCTTCACGGAGACCAAGCACCGCGTCAGCATGGAGGTGGCCGCCTCCAAGGGGCTGCCCCCCCTCAAGTATCACCTGCTGCCACGCACCAAGGGCTTCACCACTGCGGTCCAGTGCCTCCGGGGGACAGGTAGGAGCCAATGGGACACCGGACACCACCACTGGCCTCCAAGATCCCATGTGAAACAAAAAATAAAAACAGTGATTAGTTAAAAAACAAACAAGTGTGTTCCATGTAGAACATGGGACACCAAGCACTTAAGGAGGAAAGAATCAAGTAGTGGAGTTAACATGTGGTAAGATCCTTGCATCATTTCTTGAGGTGATAAAATGCTAGTTAATGGGAAACAAAATAATAGAAGTATATAATGGGAAACATATAATGGAAAACATGACAATAAATGTATCTAATTAATCCAAAAAGAGTGAAGGTGAAAGAAAGAAAGAACAGATGGCCAGACAGGAGATTTAGGCACACAGGTCAGTAGCACGGGAGCTGAAAATCCACTACATGCTGCAGTTAAAAGATGAGAATTGGAGAAGAAGGAAAACGCGCATGAGGATGGAGGAGCCGCTGGGGGAGCTGGCTCTTGCGTCTGGGGCACCGCCTGCAGGTCACCTCCTTTGTGTTCCCCACAGTCACCGCTGTCTACGATGTGACCCTGAATTTCAGGGGGAACAAGAACCCATCTCTGCTGGGGATCCTCTATGGGAAGAAGTACGAGGCGGACATGTGTGTGAGGTGAGCGAGAGCTCTCCCGCCCCTCCCCACCTCCCCACCAGCCCATCACCCCTCGTCACGGCCCCTGTGTGGTGCTTGTGGGAAGGGCCCTGGTGAGCTGCACAGGGGAGGATCTTCTGTGTCATTGTCCAGGCCTCCAGGTGGGCAGGCCATGGAGAGTCCCGCCCCTCCCCACCTCCCCACCAGCCCATCACCCCTCGTCACGGCCCCTGTGTGGTGCTCGTGGGAAGGGCCCTGGTGAGCTGCACAGGGGAGGATCTTCTGTGTCATTGTCCAGGCCTCCAGGTGGGCAGGCCATGGAGATGACTCTGAGACAAAGGGGAAATATGTTTCCCCAGCTGCATGTTTCATTCCTCGGGGGGACTGTTGGGCTGGAGTTAGGGGTCTTCTGTCCTCTCCTTCTACCTCCTTGGGAAGCCAACCCAGCTCGCTGTGTGTGCACCGTGCCCCTCCCCTGGCCTGGTCTCGAATCCAAACAGGTTCAGCCCATCTCCTGGGGCTGCAGCCACATGACCTGGTGGGATCACCCAGATCTCATCTTGGGCGGGCAGTTCGGGCTTCCTGGGGGCCTCTGGCCAGGAGCGGCACTGTCTTATTTTCTGAGAGTGGCTTTTTGCCGACACTGGTGGTTTCAGCTTCAGAACATGAGGGATCTCAGTGTGAGAAAGGACACCATGGTGGAGGGAAAGGAAGAGCCTGTTTTAAATTCCACCTCAAGTGTCAGGGTTCAGCACCCCAGTCCTGTCCTAGCAAAACAAGATAGGAAGGACATGTCCAGATTTCCATGTGAAGAGCCGAGGCTCTGCTTTGAAGTGCATCGGAGCCTCCCGTGGAGGGCAGCCTTTCTCTCTTCCAACACAAGGTCAAGGTCAGACACTGATCAGAAGTGTCACAGTGCTGCTCGTTGACTCTCTAAGTTTCTCTGGCTCATGAAGAGAAGACAGTCCACCCCCAAATCTTTTTATCTTAACACACAGTCTGGGGTTGTGACTTTGACTCCAGCTCAGGGCATAATTTCTGGTGGGCTTCCCGGGCTTGTCTCTTACCTGCACGAAGGAGGCTGTGTGTTGGACTGTCCTCATCAGTCTCCTGTTTCATTCAGGCGTGTACACAAAGGCAAGATGTCCCCTGGTGTGTGTGTGAAGTCGTGTGGGAACCATCGCCATGTTGGTTCCCATACTTGCTGTCGGCCCACCACCAGCTCAGGTGTTCATCCTGGTCAGTCTACCCTGCCAACGGGGGCAACAGGCCCCCTTCATTTCAGTCCTGAGAGCCTGAGACTGTACAAGTTAAACAAACGAAATGCCCCATTCTTCTGGCCACACAGTAGGAAGTGTCCAGGAAGAGTTTTGTGAACGTGGGCAATGAGCAGATGGCCTTCTGCCTGCAGCCTGCGGCGGCCTGGCTAACCCAGGGTGGGCTTCTCTCCTTCCATCCTGGGATGCGGGGGTGGGAGGAGTGAACCTAGGTCCTTTCTCCCTCATCTCTCAAATTCCCGGTTGGGGGCTGATGTGTCATTGGCCACTGCAGGCTGCAGTGATTTCCTTGGGCCTCGGCTGGTCCAGCTGGCAGGCTACCACACATGTCGTCAGGTGGGACTGTCACAGCAGCAGCAAGTCCTGTGTCCAGCCCCTGCCCAGCTGGTCTCGGTCATCTTCACAAGAGGAGCCTTGCAAGCAGATCTTGTCCCTGGGTGGTAGCCGGGGCCCTGGGCTGCACTGCCCCCATGTGGACACCCCACCCCCTCTGGAGAGAAGGCTCTCCATAATCTGTTCATTTTCCCCTTGGTCGGGGCCATATCTTGCTCAATCATATTTTAATAGATAAATGCTTAGAACTTCCAAAAGTTTCAGTGTTTCTAGTAAAAGTGCTATTCCAAGGCATACTTTTAAGCACATGAGCTGAGGTTCTGCGCTACCTGCCGGGCTTTCCCCCGCCCCCCCCTTCCTCCTGGTGCTGGTGACAATGCCCCTGGAGCTGCGGCTCAGCAAGGCCCAGGGCGTTTGGGCCCATATCTTCAGAGTGGCTGAGTTCACTCCAAGAGAAGGTGCTCAGGGTGAGCAACAGGGTGCAGGAAAAAGTAGAGCCCACGTTTATGTTTACTTTTTATCTTGTCATTTTTAATTCTTGTTTTTACATGTTTCACAATGTGAATAACAGACATACAACAAATCCTCTATGTGGGGTGTGTGTGTGTGGTGTGTGTGGGGTATAGTGTGTATATGTGTAAATTACCCTTGTGTATACAGTCAGCCCTCCATATCCAAGGGTTCTGCATCCATGAATCAATCAACTGCAGATCAAAAATAATGTGTTGAAAAAAAAAACAATAAAACATAACAGTACAAAAATAAGATAAATATAAATTTAAAAAACAATACAGTATAACAACTGTTGGCCTAGCATTTACATTGTGTCAGGTATTGTAAGTGATCTCGAGATGATCTAGAGCACGCAGAATGTGCCTCAGTTACGTGCAGATACTGTGCCATTTTATAGCAGGCATTTGAGCATCTGCAGGTTTTGTGGTCCTTGGGGCTCCTGGAACCAGAGGGATGACTTATATACATCTCTGCGAGAAGTTGTGTCTTCACTTGACCGTTAGGTTGTCATCTCCCTGGAGACAGAAAGGACTTCTGAACCTTGTTTCCTCACTGACATGGTGCCTGGAGCACATCCTTCAGACACCAGTTCCCGAGCATGCTCTGGTCCCAGCACTAAAGCTTCTGTTGCCTGGGGCATTGTTGGCCCTCCTGGCAGGTGTAGCCCTCAGGAACTATAGCTCTTTGGGGTCCTCAGTTTTGAGACAAGCTCCTTAAAGCATGGAAATTTACCTCTGGCCCTGGAAATTTCGCCTGGTTCTTCTCTCCGGAAGAAGCCACTGGGGTCCTGCTGAGGTGGGTGGGTAACCACCATGGCTGAGGCCCACCCACCAGGCCCCGTTGCTTGGTGATGACTCCAGCACCTGTGGCCCTCCACCCCTCCTGGGCATCCTGAGGTACTGCAGTGCCTGGGGGAAGCAGGTTCTCACTGGCCTATCTTTTTATTTATTTGTTTTAAGCACACAACACCAAGATGTATCTCTGCCTCATAGAAAGCCCACCATGTGCCGAGACAAGCCTGAGGCCGCAGAGCCGTCCCCTGCATGGCAGTCGGCCTTGCCCTTCCTTAGCAATGTGGTTTTCCAGCGGCCATGGCAGAGAAGACATGGGTTCAGAGCTGAGCACCAGCAGTTACACGCACCTCTGGGAAGTGGCACATGTCATTTGTGCACACTGACTTCCGGGGAGCAGGAATGTGTGTTTCTCTCAAGTGCCCAGAGGAGAGGAGAGCTGGGCGTCAGTGAACAGGGTCCTCTCTCCCACACGTCCTTCTCGGCGACTCGCCCTTGAAATAGCAGCTCCGGAGCTTCTCCTCCCACGAGCTCT